GACTACTGCTTGCATGTTTCAGAGCTTGGATAATAGCCACTGCTTCGGCTGAAAAAATGGATACTTGGTCGGGGAGTTTAAAGGTGCCAACTGTGTCAGTGCTGGGTATATAATATGCACATGCGGTTCCGTCCTGATTCTTGGATGCGTCTGTAAAGATCTGGGTACCCCACGCGGAATGCAGGCACACCTGGTTGAAAATGCGGATATTCAACAATGGGATGTCACTGTATTCTGGTATTATGATTACGGTGTTGGACTTTAGTTGGAAGTAGCTTTCTTCTCGGACAGAGATCAGATCAAGATGTTTGGGTGCTGTTATTTGAATCTGTCTGAAAGCACTGCATAGTGGGGGGGAGTTTTTTTTCATCCAATATTTGTTGGTCAGATCTTCGGCGTTGAGGTGGCGTAACTTTACCAGTGTTTGTGAGTCGGTAATCGTTTGTTTCACCAGGAATCTCTCTGCAAGCATTTGTCTTCGATGATGTAGCGGTGGTTCAAGAGCCTCAACTCTCATCGGTTCTATGGGGAAGTTTTCATAGCGCCCTAGCATATTCTTAGAAAGGTATTTTGAACCACGTCCAGCCTTCGCAATAAGGTATTACTAGCAGAGCCATAAAATATGCTTCCGTAGTCTAGTATTGACCTAATATATGATCTGTAAAACATCAATGCAATTGTTTGGTCAGCTCCCCACCATACTTTCAGCATCATCCGGAAGAAATTGAGGCCTTTCGTGCACCTGACGATGATGTTCTGTATGAAGCTCCTCCAATTTAGTTTTTTATCTAAAGTAACGCCCAGGTACTTAACTGTATTATACACCGTGAACGTATGTCCTCCCAGGTGCACAGCGTCTGATATTTGGATATTATGGCGAGTGAAGAAACATAGCTTAGATTTCTCGCATGACAGCGTAAAGCCATTCTGGTTGAACCACTGGTTGTATTGATGCATGGCACTATCCAGAATATCTGTACAGAATGATAAGGCACGGTTTTCTATATAGATTCAGATGTCGTCAGCGTATTGTATAATTTTGGAACTTGGATTAACTGTATGTAGGTCAGCAGTGTATATATTGAAAATGATAGGACTGAGGACTGCACCTTGCGGCAGGCCAGCAAAACTATAACATCCTATTTTTTTGTTTGTATTATCTCTTACAAAAACTGCTCTATTGTGATATAAGTTAGTTATGATGTAGCACAAATGAGGAGGGAGCCCGTATATTTCCAATTTTGTTCTCGGCAGTGTTAAGTCGATCTGGTCATAAGCACCTTGTAAATCTAAAAATAATGCTGCCCACTGGACTTAATAGATTCAAACAAGGGCTGGATTAGCTCCTTAATTTTATAAATATTACCGCCAAATTACAATAAACGTAGTTAAATGATATTTAAAAAATTCAAGGAAAATGTTTTTTTTTTAAACTTTAGCACCCTGTATCTTGAGAACGAAGAATTTGCGGGTATATGTTTATATGAACTTTCTATCTTAAAATTACTCGAACAACTGTGTGTTAAATTTATGGTTCATACTTAATTAACACCCTGTGTAAGAGACACCAAAAGTACACAATTATAGTTGTAGTCACCGTTCTTGGTGATTACGACATCAACGCCATATGAAATAAGTAAACAGATCCAGTCTCCGCTGTTTTCATTCTCTTCCTGGAAATACTCTAATAAATTTAGCACGCGCTGTCGGCCTTCTCCATTGATCGTTTTTCTGGGCATTGTACAATTTTATATTGAAGATTGATAACAGGACAACTTAGTAAGAAGTAAGTTGTCACTCTGACAAATTTGAGTGAAGGGCACTCATATGTAACGACAAAGTTTTCGAGTCGGAGACACATAACTAAAAAACTTTGAGCTTACCGAACAAGCGTTCACACTCAGGGGTAAGTTGCATGTGTATGTATGAGGGAGATGGAGATATATAAAAGGATACTGGTAGTCTTACTTTGACCCGCCGAGAACGGGACGACTATATTCAACAGCAAAAAGTCATGTTGAACAGTGTTATGTCAAGCCTGTAGTTAGATTCGGAGACATTTTGACTGTACGAATGCTATGTAGCGACAAGGAGCGTCAAAATTTTATTGAATAACCATTGACTCAGATGTCGGATTCTTTGAATATGTAGACAAAAATATTACATAGATATATTACATTGTTAACATATTATTTGGCAATTATGCGGGGCAATTCCGGGAAAACAATAAATTATATAGCGTAGAAAGGTCAGTGGTTTTATTAGACACTTTAAATGGGTTTCCAGTTCTTGGAACTCTTGTTTTAGAAACAATATATTACTATTATTATCAAACCGCTTCCATAAAGCTTTCAAAACTAAATATCTATTGGGAATCTATGAAAAAATCAGAAGCGGCATTCCATTGCCTGCGATTTAGCTGAGCCTTTGAAGAATGGCGTTAGATCGATACGATCAGTATAAGTGGTATAAGACGGCATTACTTTTATTGATTCTTTTGGAAAACTACAGTAAAATGTCACATTTCATACCAAATAATTCAATGACACCACCCGGTCCACAAAAACCACTGGTGAATTCAGAAATCGCAGGAGAAATGCAAATTTAGAAAACTGAAACGTATCCTGTGGTTTATGTGTCGATAATCTGCCATGCCTGTCTGGCCAAGAAACCCACATGTATTAACAGAATCTTTTTTACTGTAAAGGTTTCAATCTCAAGGGTGATATGACAATCACATATTTTATTTATCTGCCTTCTAGGTGACAGTTCGTCGGTTTTTTCTATTCATTTGTAAATCCCTATACAGTGTGTTACTACAATGGTATAAAATTCCCGAGCATGCTGAGATTGCTCAGAGTTATCATTCCGAATTTTAAGATGGCTCCACGATCAAAGAGGATACCAATTACAAAAGGTAGGAAAAGGAATCAGCCTATATAAAATTAAACAACAATTGACGGCACAAGTGGATAAAGGTGTGATTTAACAAAATCATTGTATGGATATAATTGACTTACATTTTTTAATGGGACATTTTACATATTGAAATTTTCAATAATTGGGTTCATTAGCTTGCTACTGTCTTGTCTTTGCAACAAAGTAATCACAGAATGGAAGAATCACTCATGAGGGTTAGTTTAATGCAAAAAAAACAATTTTTGGAAAAATGCTGCACGACACCTTTATCCACTTGTGTCTTCGATTGTCTTTCTACTTCTTCTGTGAACGGTGACCCAGTTTGGTAGAATATTTTTGAAGGAAGCATCTAAATGATATTCTTCAGCTTAGCTAATGGACCGTGACGGGACAAACAACATGGTTCCCTTTGGATGTCGAAGTCGTATTTCTTGTGTTTCAGACCTAAAACAGTGCACTTGCAACGTTTGATCGGCGACGTATCTGTTATATTGACAACCGACAGATAGCCTCATGCTCGCTTGTCGTTTCTGGAGGGCTGCAAGACCTTTTTTCGGAACGGAAATGCCTACCCCAGGCGATCTTGAACTATGTTGATTTTGCGTGGAGCCATCTTATAATTCGTAATGAAGACTTCGCGCAATCTCAGCATGTTATAGGAGTTCCAGGCTATATGGATGTTCAAAATTCGACTCTCACTATTGGTACCTCGGATACGGTAAATTGCATATTAACATATCTATCAATTTTTCTCCTCTGCAAGATGGTACAATAGAATTTCAGTATGATATTTCTATCTCATGTCCTCCAGCATCAGCTTTATTTTTTCTATTAAACGGGCAGTTTCTAATCCTGATACCAAAAGTATAAAATTTGTCATACAAGGGCATTGCCAAACCTTAATTATTTAAAAAAAAGATGGTTAGGCCTTGAGATTATCAGACAGTCATTTGTTTCGTTGTGGACTCGTTTTCTAGTTGTACGTGTTGCCTAAACGTCAGCGAGCAGCGACCATAGCGAGCAAACGTGGAATGAACTATTTATACGCTAAAAACTACCTAGTCTGCAAGATGACTTTTCGTCGTTTTTTTACGTTTTATTTGAAATGGGATTTTGAAATAAATTGCATAATACTATTGCCACCGTTTCTCCTCGACAAGAAGGTGTAGTCAAATTCTCGATCAGACGTTTCTGCTTTCGATGTCCATCTTCAACTCTGTTTGTTCTTATGGAACCATCGAAATGTTGGGCAATTGAACACAATTGTTTGATCCTGCTTTTAATTTAATACATTCATTTGCGTTACGATGAACTTCATATATTAAAATAATATTATTCTTAGTAGTATTTAATATTTTTCTATCTACACATATATTTTTCTGAATTTCATGATCCTTGAATCTAACTCCGTCTAAGATGGATCTCTGAATATCTAAAGTAGATTGACTTAGTACCTATGACGCATTGACATACAACAGAAACGGACTGACAAACCGACACAAATGAGAAACACGGATATGTATGTTGCAAATATCTTTAAGCAACAGAAAATTTGTGAACCGAGGTTCGAATATTATCGCTAGTTTAATACTTCCATCGTTTAGGTATTCGTAGATTTTGAAAATTGATTCAGAGATGACGGAAAATAAAATCACTGAAATATAGCGTTGCAACGTTTCAGAGATTCCTGTTCATTTTCGGACTTTGTAGGTTGGAAGCTGTATGCGGTAAATGGTTGTAAATTGTTGCATATTTGGTGTCAGTGAATGACCTTCTACTATTGAGACGCTGCTGATCTCAGTAATACTGTTCACCTATTAAACATAATAAGTAACATATACTACCTACGTACTTAAGTGAACCTACCTAATCACGATTCGATGTCGCCTTTTGAAACGATTTAACTCATCTCTTTTCTTTGAAACCTCCAACGAAGCCGTAGGAAGCATAGAGTCAGTCCACTTGACGCCATTTTTGCACTCTAATTTCAATACCCAGTAATGATTTCAATTTTACATGTTCACATGCTTTCACTGCAACGCGTCTAGCATCTAGGTGTATCCGTTTAGTCGACTAGATACCTTGCGACGACTAAAGGGCAGAGGGGCCCATTGGCATCCAGTGTGAGTTCAAGTCCCTTTTCCACAAGAATGTAAATATCCATTAGGCATCTTCTGATATCCGTACGGGATTAAATTCTGGGCGACCCTCTCACATTGGGATAATTCCCGCAATGTTGGGGATTTGATACAGTCTCCTAATTTTCTAAGAATTCCTAATATCCGGTAAACTATGGTTGTAACATAGAAGCGCAAGCAATACAAGTGTCAATCTGGAAACCATGTCAGTGTAAATGTCAGAAAAGATGCATTTTCTTCTCTACAACGATTCCTTCCAGTAGGAAAAGCCACTGTGCCTCTTTGCAAAGAAAGGTATTTCCGTAATTCTCATTCACTTTTGAGTATATCTTATTTTTTCACCGAATAATGGTGCTATCAGGTTTTGATTCAGACCTGGAAACTGTGCAACGGAAACTCTTGCTAAACTTTAGCAGGCCTACGGAAATGGTGTTTTGTCAAGAGCCCAGGCTTTTTGGTAGGTTGAGGCATTTTTAGAAGGGAGAGAGTCGATTGAAGGTGGACCACGAAGCGGAAGGCCTTCATCTTCAAAAACCGATAAAAGTATCGATCGAATCCGTGATCTTGTGCGTCCAGATCGTTGGTTGGCAGTCAGAATGATCGGAGAATAATTAAATTTTACTTACACTACTATATTGTATATGTGTATACAGAGTGTTTCAAATTCGACCGTCACGATTGGGATGTCGGTAACTTTAAGAGATACGAAGTCGCTTTCGTAGGGGCAAAATTGTATATTTAGGTAATCAACAACTAGCCGCTTAAAAAAATCGAAATTCAGCGTACTTCCGGAGAGAGACGGAAAAAACCGAATTTACCCAAAATCGTGACTTTATTTGTAATGGAATTTCAGAATAAACTGGACATTAACATTGCCACTGTTTCTCGTCTACAAGATGGCATAATTAGAATTCCAATACGATGTTTCATCTCACGTCCTCCATCAACAACTTTATTTTTTCTTGTGGACGCCATATTGGACTTATATACAGATGAATAGAGTTTTCAATTTTGATTAGATATTCATGAATTCACTTATTTTGAATACCAGATTTATCCCAAAATCACTTTTGTTTTTTCTCGACCTTATTTCGGATGGAATTTGAAAATAAATTGCATTGCATATATGCAATTGCATTTGTTGCCCCCATTTAAGCGACTTCGTAACTCTTACTGTTTCCGACATCTCAATGGTGAGGGTCAAATTTTGAAATACCTTGTATATATGCATATTATTTTGCTTGAATCATTTCACCATCACTGTATTATTGTATCCTCACTACGCTACCTTGGTGGTGGCTGACCGCCCACCACCTCGGTGAATTTTTTTATTACAGCCCTAATATTTCGGAACGGCTAGTACACCGTTTGTAAATCTCTTATTCTGAAAGCTGGTTCTGTGCAGTTGTTATGATGGCGGCAGCTAGGCGATGGATGCATCATGCGCCGCTCACCTTTAAAACGATGCACATTTTCCACCTCTTCGTTCTATTCTTTCTAGTTCATCGCGTTGAAGCTTTGGCCCACCTTGCATTCCAGCAGCGTCGATGGGGAATCGATGGTTGTTAGCCATTGCTGAAAAAAAGATGAGTACTTAGATAAATGAACAAGAGATGAATCGTCTCGTATCAGAGCTTATTTTAAGCACCTGCAATTTCTTTCTGTACTGTCCATGCGAATAGGCAAGGAAAGTATTTCATTATTGAATAATCAGATTTAATTTTTTAATTTTAAGCGGCATCAGCTGCCAGGATTATTACGTAGGAAACCTATATAACGTCAAAAAAAATCGGTAAACGGTCAACTTGTGCACTAGGAAGCCGCTAGTTCATTCCACGCTGTGAGCATGAAGTGAATATCAGCTAGTTTGAAGGTGACATTCCGAGCTATGTCGTCAATTAGATTACATTCGATTTATGTCCAAGGTTTGTGTAGAGGGGCCCAGAATTAGCGGACATACAGATAGACAGACCGACAGAAATGAGTGACATGGTTTTTCATGTAAAATCTCTTGAGAACTAAAAATACATAATATCTCATTTTCGACATTTTCGCTATTATTTACAATACCTCCTCGCTGGTGGTAGTGGCACGAAGAGTACAACGATGTCATCTGTTTCGATTGTTTTGATGACATCGGTTTAGGTTATTGTTGATACTATTGTGGCAGGAAAGGAGAAACTTTAGTTTTGGATAGAGACGTTGTTATCTCGATTCCTTTATCTTGATAAAAACACGTAAATATTAATTAGCTTATTTATGCACGTGGTTTGAGTCTCGCGACAACTGGTAGTGCTGAATTAAGCTTGGAAATATTAGTTATACTGTTAATTATAAACTTATTTCCTCCACACTAGTCGGGATTTCATGCGGGCTTGCTCCATTTGACCAATAACGTCGTACCAAACTTAGATAGACATCTCATTAGATGATGAGCAAGCTGAAGTAACATTGAGCTTTCCGATATTTCACCAAAATTTTTCTAAAGCTACTTAGCTAACAGAAGACAAGTTGTTAAGAAACTTACAAGTATCTCATTAAGTACAGTGGTTTAATCTGGTGCCGTGCTGTATCTTATATTCCTATACGATTGACCGATTTCAACAGAGACCATAATTTTGGCACGACAATATGGAACTTTCGAAAAATCTACAAAGCATTTTTGAGAAAATGCTCATGTTTAAAGAAGGTTGGTTGTCCGTAGATTAGGAAATCTCCAATCGATGCCTCAAATAAAGACAACCACAGATTAAAACATATTCCAACGATGCTCCTCTATTCGTGGCATTCATATCCATGAATGACTTCAAGATTTCTATCATTACTTCGCTGAGAAAATTTTACTAGGCTTCAAGAATTAAGTCCCAGAAGAGATGCGCTCAATATTCGAAACAAGATTATACTAGACTTTGACCAAAACTGTTGGCCGTCCAGCGATTTGTGTATTTCATTCCTAGTTCAAGCTTTGAGTACGGGTTTGGCTTCGACCACAATATAAGTCATAAAATACTCTTCATCTGTTAATGTGGAAATTCTAATGAGTTCTCTCTCTATTGAGCTGATACTGAGACAATACGAAGGATCGTAGGCTTATCCATGACAAAATCATTAGAGAGGGGTCCCTTTACCCGTGAAGAATTCAGTTACGTATTTCCTGTGTCTCGAAGACAATTTTAGTGCCTACATACCAAGTACATTATGAGATCGTACGCCACTGCCTTGCCTGATACCACCCTCTCCCCCTCGCTGCGTGGTGCGCATTAAGTTGACGCGCTCCAAGCTCGAAGCGCCACATAGAACCTGTTGTCCTATAAAATTATAACATTCAGAAGTTTCGGGGAATGCGGCCTTCGTTATGTTATAATACTTCTTTAATTAGACGCTTGCTAGCGAATCTTGATGGCCAACTGAAAGAAAAAAATATCTGCGCTGAAAGGAAAACGAATAAGACTCACATGCATGCTATGTTTAGAACGTTATATTTCTTTTGTGTTTCTCCATTACTGCGGATGGTGATTTCCCCAGTATTCTGAACAAAGTCTTTCCATTAGCCCATACCTTCAGCTACTTTAAGAGGTTCACAACGGAATGAAGTGAATTCTGAAGTTGTTCGGAGCATCTAGTTGGTGATTTTCCTCTTGGTCATATCTCTGGAACATTTCTAGAATCGGTCGTTTCAAATTATTGTCATTTCTACTGGTCACGTGACCGAAGAACCAAAGAACATTAAGCAACCTTGATAAGCATGTTTTTTAAAACTGGAATGGTTGAATGTAAATTCGAGGAATACCTATTCTGCTAGATTGTCCTATATTTCAAATATCGTAGGTCTAAAGAAGCAGTCCTCAATCAGCTAAGCCAGATCTGATAGAGAAGCAGAAACCTAACGTACCGACTAATCATTGATTAACGTAGGTACCCAACCATAGTGCTGTATTTGGACGTTCACTTACATCATGCATCGTCAAACTTATGTTTGCCAAGTGTGATAAAAGTAATTCCCTTAGAAGCAGAAAAAACAAACTCCTTGTTCTTTTAAAAGAAATTATTTATTTTTAAGCACGATCAACCGTCCAAAGAAAACTCACCCCTCAGCCTCACTCGTGATTATTTCTAATATTTCGTATTTCCGGAATTTCTCAACGAAAATTCCATTTACTGCGCAACAGTCCAAAATGTGGCCTCGCTGACACCTAAGGACGATGCTCGGTGGAGGCATGTAGTGTCTGGAAAGTAGCTATGGTGCTACGGTACGTATGCTCGCACAGGCACGGCTTTTAGTAGGGTAAATTAATCATTCGCCTAACAGATATAGAGCGCTTCTGGATAATATACATGGTGTTTGAAACTCCAACCTCCAGTCTCGAAAAGTGCAAGAGATACGAAGTCGCTAAAATAAGGACAAATGTGCGTATTTCGGTAACTAACAAAATGCCGTTTAGAAAGTTTCCGGAGAGACGGAAAAAACGAATTTTCTCAAAATCGTTTTAATTTCTTCCTGAATTCATTTGTAGTAGAATTTCGAAATAAATTGCACATTAACGTTGCCACTTTTTCTCCTCCTAATGATGGCGTCATTAGAATTCCAATATAACGTTTCGTCTCTTGTCCTCCAGCATCAACTTTATTTTCTTTTATGGACACCATATTGGATTTTTACACAGATAAAGTTTTTAATTCTGATTCCAAAAATGTATAATACGTTATACATTGAGATTGACAAATTTCAGTTATTTAAAAAAGCAGACTTTCCTAGGTAGGCCTTAAATTTTTTTTCGCATACAATATTTATCCCAAAATTAATCTTGTTTTTTACTGGCTTTATTTGTGATGGGATTTCAAAATAAATTGCATGATGTCATTGTTACTTAAGTACTTATTCTCCTCTACAAGATGGTGTAGTGAAATTTTCAATTCAACATTTCTTCTGTCGACTTCCATCATCAACTTTGTTTTTTAAAATGGATGCTATATTGGAGTTTTGTTAATTTAGATAGAGTTTTCATTCTCAAATTCAGAGATATATTTCATTAGTTGTTGTTGGATGGAAATTATCAGGACATAAAGAGTTATGGTGAAACCTAAACACAAAATGAAAATTTCAAGCTTAGCAGATGTTCAACATGTTGTCCGTTATTCTGTAGGCAAAGTCTGACTCTTCTCTGTACATTTTTCACTATTCCATTTATTTCTCTTTTTCTCAGTCTTCCAAACTCTGTGCTCTGCTACGAAACAAATGAAATCTAGTAATTTCAAGGCTTACCTAGGACCTACCGTCTTTCTGGAATAACTAAGGTTTGGGAATGTCAATTTTTCACATCAGAAGTAAAGACTCTAATCATCTACGCAAAAATCCGATATGGCGTCTATATGAAAAAATAAGATTGATGCTGGAGGTTGAGAGACGAAATGACATATTGAAATTTTAATCACGCTATCTTGTAGAGGAGAAAATTGGCAATGTCGTGTGCAATTTATTTTGAAATTCCTCGTCAAATAAAGTCAGGAAAAAGATAAAACGATTTTAGGAAAATTCGATTTTTTCAGTCTCTCTTCGGAAATACTTTGAATTCCGAAACTTTCTAAGCGGGATATTGTTGATTACCCAAATATGCAACTTTATTTAAGCTTCTTCATATCTCTTGCAGTTTTCTAGATTCCAATGGTGAGGGTCGAACTTGAAATAGCCTGTATAAGAGGAGCAAGTTACGTTGGCATATTTCAGCTGCGTTGGGTAAATAGTGCGGAGGTTGAATGGGTTCCTGGAAAGAGTGCGCTGCTGTTGAACAAACTAAAATGAGGCAAGTCCGTTCTGTGTTTGGTAGCAACCATCGACAAAATTCTTGACGGAGCCCAAAAAATACTTGATATCGCTTTCTGGGGGTACTTAATGTCAGGTTATTCATTCACAGCACTAGGCCAGAGACGATTTACATAACTATGTAAATTGCTACGAAGCACATACTTAAACAACAAAAAATAAAAACCGCCATTTCCCCCATTTATCTTCCATCCTGTTGATCCAGAAGTCATACCATGTAATGCGGGATTTAGAAAGTCAGTAATCGGTTTCCACGTTACGTTTTTTTTGTGGCGTTTTTTCATACTTACACGCTCCCATTCAGCTCTGCCCCATATTAATTTACATAAATCGACCGGAAAAAGGAGCCGCAACCTTCCCCTCAGTATACGTGTCTTTTGTGATTGTCAAGTGAGAGTTGAGATGTCTACACAGCTGCCGACGTTTAACTAGAATGCTGTTGATGGTGAACTAATTAAAGATAAAAATCTTGTTTCCAATGCATTTGTAGATTACTTATCAAGTCTCTGTATTATCAAAATAAAGAACACATACAGTAGTGTGCCAGAAACTTTCTGTAAAGTCTCTGTCAGTCCATCAATAGTAATAGTTATGTTCAATCTCACCATAGCAACACATACATTTCCTGATATTTGAAAACTTTCTAGAGTGACATTTATTTTCAAATCAGGGGATAATACTGATATTAAGAAGTATAGAGCGGTGGCAGTATTGTCAAATTTCTCCTAATTGCTTGCATAACAGAATACATACTGGAGTTCATAAATCTCTGTCCCTACTAATTTAACAATCTCTACTCAGTTTGCTATTGAATGTCAACAACATGTAGTACGTACTGATTTTGCTAAACCGTTCGATAGTGTCGACACGGCATAGTTTTAAATAAGCTTTCTCATCTTCCATTTATCGGCTTTAGCACTTATTCAAAGTTATCTTTATGAAAGGAGTGCCTCAAAGTTTAAACCTTGGTCCTTTGTTGTTTACCTTATTTTCTGATGATATTGCGCTAGATTTAAGTTGGAATAAACTCCTTTTTGCGGATTATTTAAAATTATTCAGGATTTTTTATTCTGAGGCTGAGTGTATCCACTGTATCGCAGTCACAATAGGATATTGATGTTTTAGTTGCTTGGTGTTACGAGCATAATTTATTTCTTAACGCGTCTAAGTGTAGTGTTGTCAGCTTTTCCAGAAAAACGTCTGTTTTTAAATTTAATTATTAGATTGGGGATATTAACATAAATTGTTGTGACTCAATTAAGGGTTTGGATGTAGTTTTTGACCATAAACTTAATTTTTCACTCCAGATAGCTGAAAAGATGAGTGAAGCTTCACGAGTGAACGGTTTTAGTCTCAGAAGCTGCAGAAGCTTCAGCCGCCAGAGTCAGTATTAGTTTTGTATTCTGCATATATTAGATCAAAATTGGAATATACGAGTACTTCATTAATTTGGTACCCAATTTACTACTGCTACATTGATTCTCTGTGTTCAGAGAAAGGTTCCCAAATTTTTATCTTTCAAGGTTGACGGTGCATATCCGTGCATATAATGATGCAGGAAAACTTCAAAGATCACCAAATTCTAATACTTCCATCAGTTTACATAGTAAAACATGTAACGTTTGTGAAAATCAAACCTGGCGGTTTTACTCTCCTATGAAGTAACCACAACTATACAACACGTTGTACGCTTTTCATAAGGATTAAAACAACAGCAGATGAAAGATCTGTATTTTACAACTGCATCCACTTGTTCAACAGCTTACCAAACTACCTAAGGGATATCACAAATTATGAGTTTAAGCTCAAAGTAAAGAAGTTTCTATGCCAGAACTGCTTTTATACTGTACAAGAATATTTGTCTTACAAATTTTAAATTTTCACTATCATGTGTAGGTCTTACTTCTTTTTTTAATTGTAATTTTTCATAATGTATTTTGTGTATCATTTGTCGGTTTTTCGTTCTTCCACTTGTCACATGCATTAATTTACTGAAATGTGATCAATAAATAGCTATCTTAACTAAGTCGGTGAAGAGCAACATCATCTTGCTTCATTTGGATATTAAAATAACATAGTATTGAAGGAACAGTTTTTCTGCATATTGTACAGTTAGTTATCTTTGAAGGTCACAATAACGCACAATGATTCAAAAAACAATCTTGAATTTTTTTATTTTCCAACGGATATTACGCTGTTATGAATGTTACAGACAGCTTCTAAGCAATGTAAATTTTCTCAGTGTGCTGACCTCGCACAAAAGCAGAACGAGCAATTTTTATATTTACCGTAGTGTAAACAGGACATCCACGAAAAGGCTCACGTATATCTGTTTTCGACGCTATAGGCTACTTCTTTCAGCCAAAGTAAACAACAAAGGACGGCTCCCATTCATTTTGAAAATGTAAACAGTGCAAGAAAGTGAGTCGGAACCTTCATTTTCCTTGTTTTGTAGAGAAGATGAAGGATAGTATGTCTCCGAATCTCAGAAATCATTAGTTATGGCAATATGCCTTATTATTACCATCTACATTATTTTGATGTTAAGAAGTATGCCATTATTGGCCTAGCACTTTTATATCCTAAGGCGCATATCGCTGAGGAATATTAATATTATGTGCAAGGACAATAATTTCTCAGAACGGCACGGGTATTACATATCTTGAAAATTTACATTTCGTCGGGATTTTTTTTTGAGATTTCGTAG